GCCCGCCTCAGCCTCCCAGAGTGCTAGGATTACAGGCGTGAGCCACCGCGCCCGGCCTTTTCTATTTTTTAGTAGAGATGGGATCTCTCTCTTGCTCAGGCGGGTCTTGAACTCTGACCTCAAGCAATCCTCCTGCCTCGGCCTCTCAGAGTGCTAGGATTACAGATGTGGGCTACCACGCCCTGTCAATAATAGCGACACTTTTATGGCACTTATTACATGTTAGGTAGTGTTCTAAGTGCTTTACTTATATTAACTCATTTTGATCCTTAAAATAATACTATAAGGTACTATTATTGTTATTTCTAATATACAGAGCCAGGTACAGTGGCTCATGCCTATAATCCCAGCACTCTGGGAGACCAAGGCGAGAGGATGGCTTGAGGCCAGGTTTGAGACCTAATATATAGATGAGGAAACTGAGGCAGGAGGGGCTAGGTAATTGCCTGAGGTCATGCAGGTAGCAAATGACTAAACTGGGATTCAAACTCTAGCTGGCTGCAAGGTCTTTGCTCCTAATCACTATTCAATGCCATCTCTCTAAATTAAATGCACTCATTTTAGAAAGTATGGAAAATACAAAAAGCCTAAATAAGAAAATAAAAATGTCTAATTTTACCATGGAAATTGCCACCATTAGTATTTTCTTCTCTATGCACTGTATAAAAAAAGATCATGCCATATACACACAGTTTACCTATTTGCTTTTTTACTTAAAAATACCTTATGTACATTTTCTTATATCCTTAAATGTGCAACTTAGTTTTTTTTTAACAGCTGTATCATATTCCATTATAGAATCGATTTAACTATTTCCTCATTGTTTCCATTTTTTCGTGAATACAAAGAGCATTGCCCAACCATCCCTGGACATACATATTTGGTTATTTCTTTTCAATTAAATGTCTAATACTACAATTTCTGGTAAAGGTTTTTGATCCCTATTGCCAATTATCCCTTTTTAAAAAACCATTCCACTTTATAGTTCCACCGGAAGTCCATGAGAGTGTCCATTCCCTTCTATACTCAACAATCCTGGAGATTTTTTCTTGTTAAATGTATTTTCTTGGATGACTTTGTATGGGCTAACAATGTGTGGTATGGGAATTCAGAGAGGAGAAAGCAGATGATGAGCAAATGTATCCATAGAGGTACAGCTGTTTGTTTTCTTCCTGTTATTCTTAGTAAATACACAGTCATTTTGGCGGAAGTGCTTAAAGGGGCTGTTTCCCTCCTATAGTTCCATGTTTCCAGCATAGCACTCACCACTCACCTTGGCTATTGTTTGCTCTTCTCTATTCCAGTGAGTAAAGTCTCTGCCGTGCCGGGAATTAGCAGTGTACACGAAGTGCACATCTGGGAGCTTGTAAGTGGAAAGATCATTGCCACCCTGCACATCAAATGTCAGAAGGACGAAGGATACCATGATGCCAGCGTACAAATCCGAGAAATCTTCCACAATGCAGGAATCCATAATGTGACCATCCAGTTCGAAAGGGTGGACTTGAAGGAACCCCTGGAGCAGAAGGACTTACTTTTGCTCTGTAGCTCACCGTGTATCTCCAAGAGCTGTGCCACGCAGCTTTGCTGTCCCCCCGGGGCACTGCCACTGGCCCACGTCAATGGCTGTGCTGAGCACAATGGCGGTCGCCCTCTAGACACATACCAAAGCGATGGTCTCATTAAAAGAGACACAGCAGAAGTGGCTATTGAAATGCCTTTGGACGGGTGTCTGAGGGACCACGGACAAGCTCTCAAAACTCAGGAGGACCAGTGTTATGTCAACAGCACGCATTTTTAATCCGGCACCCCCGTAATCAGACTGTACAGACAAGGCACTTTGGAATTACCACCTTGGCTTGTGGAAAGAGCTTTGTGGATGGTAGGCTCTGACCACACTTGCAGTGTGCACGCTCTGTGTTCAATAGGGGTTGGCTGTTTGGGATTTTGATTGAATGTGTCTGTTAATTTATATGCAACTGATAACTGCTTTCCATTGCCCTGGGTGTCTCATGCTGCTCTTGGATACTTTTAGCTCGAATATACATTTTTCTAAAGTGAACTGCACTCGTGTAAATATCAGGGACCTTGAAGGCTGGAACTCAATGATTGACACAGTATTCAAAGAAGTTCTTGTTTTTAAACTGATTAGAACTTCTAACTGACTCTCAGGTGAGCTCGTGGCCTATAAATACATGGAAAAACACTGAAGTACCGTAACAGCTGTATTTTTCCCATCCTCTCGAAGATCATAAAAGTGGAAGGTTAAGTATTTATTGCACTGCAGAAATATCTTTTTTCTTTGATTCATTTTTGAATAAATGTAAAATGCATACCTATTAAGGCAGAAAATGTTCTCAGAACATTAAAAGAGGTACAGTTTAGTAGGAAGGGGGCAGGAAAGAAGTGATTTTGGACCATCTCTTCATTTTGTGAGATGAGAGAAAACCAATGTTTACTTTTTGCTGTGTACTGAACTATGGCTATAGGGTGTTTCAAATGTTTAAATATATAATACACTTTTTCACTCGGAAGTCAGGGACTATTTCTACTTCCTTAAGTACGACACAAGTACTTACACACTGTCTTTTGGAGTCAGTACAGTAGGGACTGTTTTCATTTAGCGCTTCGATAATGATTTACTTATTTGTCCAAATTTCCTTTGAGTCTTCTTTGATATGATCACATTGGTCTATGCAGCATTTACTAGGAAAAAAATGAGTATTCTGGGATAGGACAGTATATGACATTGAGGGTTCATTCCTTCCAAATAGATAAGCTAGACTGCCTTTTCTTTAATTAGACATATTTTAAAGTATTTAAAGTTGCTAACTAGTAACTTGATGGAAAAGTTGATGTCTGAGGGAGAAATGAGAATTTAACTGCTGTCTTTAATGTGTTCCGAGGAACTTAGAATTTTCTTCTGTGTCTCTGATCCATATTACCAAGTTCAAATAAATTTTTTATAATCTGATTCAGACCCATAACTGAACTATATTGGTAGTGGAGAAGCATCTGTCATGTATTTAACACATTGTTTAGGGTAAGCATTTAAATCATAAACGTCTCATAGGATAAGCAAATGAGAGGTACCTCGCTAGAGAGCTAGGATCTTGAATAGGTTGCAAGGTTGACTTAAAATGATCATCTCTTAGGGTGTAAGGTCCTATTTAGAATCTGCATAGGATTTACCAGCAGTGCTAGGTTGGTAACAGAAACAGCATACACATTTTTCAGCACAAACATCATTTTAAAAATTTGTCTTAATTTGAAGGCTGAAACAAATAAGCAGCTCTGATCAGTAGGATAGGAAATTCTTTTATTCCTTGAAATTTTATCATCTGAATTTAAATTGGCCATGAATTATGGTAAATAGAAAAATGCCTACAAATATTTTTACCTCTAGAAAATCTAGTTTATTGGGCTAGGTTATATGCACTTTATAAACTAAAAATGGGGCAAAAAATAAGACATTTCTATTTTTAGTATTAAAAGTGTGACATATACTCACAGAAACCAGAGGATTCTTTAAGAATTTGGCGACATGTGGCCAAATTCTCCTACATAAACATTGGTTGAGATGCCCTAGCTGAAGCCAAAGAAGAAATTTGTCTCTTACTTCCAAATTTGAACGTCTAATTTGATTTCATATACTTCTGCCTTCATTAATAGAGAAAATTGCAATTTCACAGTTTTTGTGCAAATGGGCACAAACTGAATTCGTACTTAAATCTCTAAAGTATTTTTTCTGGAAAGGAAAAGACACTTAATTCTAAAATATTAATAATTAACTCTAACTTCAGAAAAGTATCTTTATTGACACTTATGAAAATACCAAATTATGGACTAGAGTCAATGTGAAATAATACCTTTTGGATTTTTTTTGGTTTTTGGTTTTTTTTTGAGACAGAGTCTCACTCTGTTGCCCAGGCTAGAGCGCCGTGGCGTCAGCCTAGCTCACAGCAACCTCAAACTCCTGGGCTCAAGCGATCCTCCTGCCTCAGCCTCCCGAGTAGCTGGGACTACAGGCATGCGCCACCATGCCCGGCTAATTTTTTCTATGTATTTGTTGTCCTGCTAATTTCTTTCTATTTTTTTTAGTAGAGACAGGATCTCGCTCTTGCTCAGGCTGGTCTCGAACTCCTGAGCTCAAACGATCCGCCCACCTCGGCCTCCCAGAGTGCTAGGATTACAGACATGAGCCACCGTGCCCGGCCAGAAATAATACCTTTTGAAACAGTTTGGCTGAGTGCATTTAATAATGTCCAAACAAGCTAAGTACAATATTTTTGTACTGGGTTAGATGGGTTGCATTTGCCACTCCTGGCACTGTGATGCCTACTGTATGGTGCTTTCACTTGGGTACCTTCCTTTAATTGTCCTCCCTTTTAATTTTCCCAAGCAGATATCAGAATTTTCTTTTTCCCTTTGAATTAGCCCTGCTTGGCGGCAGTAGCATCTGATGAACAGGAGATTTAAACAGCGCTGTTTTTCTTTGACATTAGAAAAACGGCTGCTTAGTTTGGTGTTCCTGTGTGCTTAATTCCCAAAAAATTCCCTCTTTTTTTTTTTTTTTAGAACCAAATATAATTTTTTAAAAAGTCTATGGCATTCTCTGGGTGTCAGGTTGAGGGCTAGTTGTCCTGTGCGCTAACCTGGCCTTCTATAACGAATGCCTTTCTGTTTCTATAGAAGGAGTCCTTCCCACATTAGTTCAGCGTCAGTTATAGGAAGTACTGTGTCTGCTTCATTTTCCAGCTTCCAAATTTGTTTTTGAAAACAGAGGTTAATTTTTTTCATATTTGGCCAATATGTATACCCACAGGGCTACCAGATTCCGCTGTTAACAGAAGAAAATATTATCCGTTTGATAAAATATCAATAAAATAGGGAGACATTATTTGAGGAAGAATTGAAATTATTCTTCATATTTAGTTGCTTTGTTTTTTGCCATTGGCTGAGCAAACCCGTGGTGGTAAATCATGAACTCCAAAGTTCAGGAGGGGTGGGTGTTTTGAATGTCAAGGAAATCAGTGAGGTGGATTTCGGATTATAATAAGGCAGCTGCCCTAAGAGGTAGTGAGAGCTTTTGTGACGCTTACACCAGGGTTTCTCAATCTTGGCATTATTGACATTTTGAACTGGATAATTCCTGGTATGTGAGGCTCTCCTGTGTCCTGTAGGATGATTAGCAGCGTCCCCAACCTCTATTCATAAATGCCAGTAGCACCCCCCCCCCCACGTTGTGACAACCAAAACTGTCTCCAGACATTGCCACATATCCCCTGGGGAAAAATTTTGCCCCAAGTCTTGAACCACTGGCTAAAAGTAAGGGCAGTTTAGGGACATTGTTGATAAAAGCCTCTCCAGAGCCCAATCGTACTTTTAATAATCAATTCTGGGGAATTCACTCTTTAAAAAGATATTTTTAAAGGTTAAATCAAATTGTTCATAAAAATCATGGTTGACTCTACCTTGGAACTTTGGACATTTAAAGAAAAAAAATATAATTTGAAACGAAAAGTCTTTACAAATCCTATTATGCAGATCAGTAATTGTGACAGCGAATGAAATGAAAAAAAAAAAAAGTATTTGCTCTCACTGTTCTGTGCTGATCTCTTGCATTCATGAATATCCTCAATTTGGCGGGCCCACTACTAAATGAGACTGGATAATACCAGCACAATTGATTCTTGGGGTTAAGGTGTTTAATTCTTCATATTTAAAATTATCAATTTTAAGCTTGATGATATTTCTTGTTATTAGTTCCCGGTAAGCAGCTCATCTTAGTGCCAATGACAAGTTCAGACATTAAAAAAGAACGTTTCATCGTTTAAGGCTAATTTTACCCTTTCCTCAGTCATATCCATTTTCTCCAAGAAGGCAGAATACATTGCCTCATTTTAAAGTATTCTGCTTTCATACTCTTGCAGTTAAAGACTGCAAAAAAAAAAAAAAAAAAAAAAAAAATACTAGTTTAGAAGAAATAAGGAAACATGACCTGATTTGGATTTTGAATTGGGATTAATGATCACTGACTGCATGTCTGTTTTATAACTGCATTCACCTGATACATTGTCACCTGTTTGTGCTTCTGAGTGTATTGATGCTCAACTGGCCACAGGTGGGGATGGGGTTATTAGCCAGAAGACTAATTTCTCAAACGGAGCTTGCGTGGGACCATAATCCTCAATGTGATCTACATGTTCCTGTGAATCTAAAGTTTAGGTAATGCAGATGTATCATTTTCTGGTGCTTCTCTTTTGTGGTGTTTTATTCTGGGCATTTTTGTTTACATGAAACTTTCTTGAATGTTTGCTAGATGATCAACTGTCTCCTATTAATACAAAGTCAGGCCAGAGACACTGAACCTACTCTGAATTCTAATGAGAATAAGCCAGAAACAATGATTTTCAAGGGAGAGTGACCCCTTCTTGGAGGTCTGAAGTTATGTTACAATATTGTGTGGAGTTTTGTTGCTTGAAGTTCTTCTGTCCTCATAGGCAATTTTGCGAAAGTGTAATCCTCACTTTTGGGGGAATTGTTAAAACTCTAAAGATAGGAGTCTAAATAAATCATTACTAATTGCATGTGAGTCCCCCAATAATGTATGTACCTATGTGTACCTTTTAGAGATGAGAGATGTTCAATCGTGCTGTGAATAAAAATTAAAAAAAAAAAATAAAAACACGACTGAGATATGTTTGTGAAAATTAAGCAGATAAAGTAGCTGACCTCGTTTTGTCTTTTTGTCACTTATTCTGGTAAATTTATTCCTTAGTACTCCTTGGATTAGTTTTAATAATTGGGTCTAACTCTCTTTCTCCATTTAGTGGGTCTCTTCTCCACACTCCTTCTGCTGCCCCCTGCCACCTGCAATGTCACAAGGCCGCTCTTGGCAGAAAAATATCACCCATCGATGCAGCTGCCTCGCTTACTGGTAAGTAGTAACTAGTTACAGTAGTAACCTAGACTGATTTGGTTTGCTAGTGGGACCTAATTTGGCCCTGGGCTACACAATAGGCTTTGTGTAGAAGGGGAGCTCCTTGAATTTAGGGAATGGTGAAGAGGCCAAGCTTATTTTGGAGAAGCCCCATAGATTTGGGAATCTCTCCAATGAGTGGAATATAATCTTTATGAATATTTAATCAGGGAAACTGTCTTCCAGTTCTTTCAATTGCTTTTATTTTGTAAATTGATTAATCAGCAGATTTTTATTGTAAGCCATGTGCAAGTAATTCTTGCCCTGAGGGAGTTTATAATCTACATGTGAACTTAAGTAAGGCATGCAACTTTGTGGGAATTTAAGGGGAGCTATGCATAGCCTGTGATTGCGGGGTCAGGGGACACCTTGTCCTGGATGTGTTTTGGTGCACATTCCAAGCCCTGGGCAGCATCTGAAATAGGAGAGGGTCACACAATATTTCATGGCCATCAGCTTCCTTCAGCAATAAGAGTCTGCAATATGAAGCGGAGGACTGAGCCCAGGACTTGGAGTACAGAATCTCTACTCCATCTAAAAGAGAATCCTACCTCACTCTTTGTCTCCTATCCTTCAGAATATTTCTTTACATCACTGTCACTTCATAACATTAT